AAAAAAAAAAAAAAACTGGAGCGCTCAGGCAGCATTACGCCATTCTTCCTTCTTGGAAAAATCCCTCAGCCTTATACAAGCCTCCTTCAAGCCCTCAGTCAGTTGTGCGGGAGAAAGGGGGCGGTCGGCTTTCTCCTTTCAAGAACGAGTTATTTTCAGCTGCTGACTGGAGACGGTGCACGTCTGGACACGGGAGCATTTCCACTATGGGACTGGATACAGACACACGCCCGGCGGACTTCAAGGCGCTCAGACTGAGGAGAAAGCCCTGCCTGCTGCTGCTACTGCTGCCGCCGCCGCTGCTCCTGAAGACCCACTCCTTTCATGGTTTTTCCTGCCAAGCCAGAGACACCTTCGCTGCCGCTGCCTTTCTCTGTGGTGTCAGTCAGCGGCTGGCCAGAGGATGAGACTCCCCAAACTCCTCACTTTTTTGCTTTGGCACCTGGCTTGGCTGGACCTGGAATTTATCCGCACTGTGTTGGGTGCCCCCGACTTAGGCCAGAGACCCCCAGGGGCCAGGCCAGGGTTGGCCAAAGCAGAGGCCAAGGAGAGGCCACCCCTGGCCCGGAACATCTTTAGGCCAGGGGGTCATAGCTATGGTGGGGGACCCACCAATGCTAGGGCAAAGGGAAGCTCTGGGCAGACACAGGCTAAGAAGGATGAACCCAGAAAGATACCCCCCAGATCCGGTGGGCCTGAAACCAAGCCAGGACCCCCTTCCCAGACTAGGCAGGCTGCAGCACGGACCGTATCCCCAAAAGGACAGCTTCCTGGGGGCAAAGCCTCCTCAAAAGCAGGATCTGCCCCCAGCTCCTTCCTGCTGAAGAAGACCAGGGATCCTGGGACCCCTCGAGAACCCAAGGAGCCGTTCCGCCCACCCCCCATCACACCCCATGAATACATGCTCTCGCTGTACAGGACGCTGTCCGATGCTGACAGAAAGGGACGCAACAGCAGCGTGAAGTTGGAGGCTGGCCTGGCCAACACCATCACCAGCTTTATTGACAAAGGGCAAGGTGAGGGGGTGGGGTGGCAGGGAGGGGCATTTGCACAGACCCAGGAGTTCCAAAGTCCTGGAGTTCGCAGGTGGGGAACAGTGTGTATATCCAGGCTAGGGTGGGAGTCTGGAACTTACACATACCAGGTCCAGGATTAGGGACGCCTAGGGATCACCAAGTTAAACTCCTGCGAGGTGCAAAATGGGCACTGAAGTGCAGAGAGGAGCTCAGATCTGGATGCTAGACTCCAAAGTCCACTCTTGATTACTGGGTCATACTTTTGTGGGGGTTGCAACGCTCAAGTTTGTACGCCCCAGCTTTTCCTCAGATAGCAGAGAGAAAGAGACTTTAGGTTCCTGTGGGTCTTCAGCTCTAACCTCAGGGAGGGGGCGAAGGGGTAGGATTTGGGAAGACCAAAAGCATGTCGTCTTGGAGTCGCAGCTGACCTAGGGACTAACTCACACTGTGACCCTAGAAGTCCCTTCTTCCCTGGGGTCTGTTTTCCTGTGTGTGTACTACATGCGCCTTGGACTAGGTGAAGTCTGAGCACTTTGAATGCCAAAGCCTTGAGTCCTATCCTAACCCATATGGCTCTCCTCTAACCTGGGAGAATACTTGTCTTCCCTGCTTCTCTGGAGGTCTGCCCACCTAGTGTTACTGGCTCAGCTCTTGCTCTCAACTTGCTGTGTGTTCCCAGCAAATCCCTTCCCTTCTCAGAGCCTCAGGTTCGCCACAGTGCGGAGCTGGCTGGACCGCTGGCAGTTGGTGAGGTGTCTTGCAGTTCAGTCTCAGGTTCACAGTCTTGGGACTTTGGCGGGCAGGGTGGGGGAGGGGCCAGAGAGTGGGAGAGCCTCCTCATTAGAGCTGGTCTGTAGGGGAATGACAGGGCGTGGGGGAGGTACAGAGGCAGCAGGTCTGGCAGAGGTGGGGGAGGTGGCCTGGCGTCGTGCCCAGCCAAGGAAAGCTGTGACCCCTCTAGGGCTCATAAAATAAGTCCTTGTGTCCCCCCCAGCACTAAGGGAGCTTGGGGAGGGGGAGATGGAGAGTTTAAAGGCCTAATTAGTTACCTTCTAGAGCAATATTTGAATATTCCCTAATGGCATATTGGCATTTAGGAAGGAGGGCATGCTGATTCAGAGATAATCACTGAGCTACACACACACACACACACACACACACACACACACACAC